GCTGGCTCTCCCGCTCCGGTCTGACTTTTACACCCCACCTGGACCTCTACCATTGTTTTGCTCTTTTGCCGCTAAGCTCAAGTATTTCTGTATAATAATATGTGTTTCTCCCCCCCCCCCTTAGACTAGCTAGCGGATGCTATAATTTAAAATCACATTGATAAATGCATTGCTTCTTACCTGGCTTTGAATGCGCATCATTCTTCTGCAATTCCATTCCTGAACCTGTTCCTGACTCATCCTCAGGTTATTTTTAATATTTACTCCTAAAATACCTCTAAAGCCTTTTGTGTCATCTACCCTTTTTCTCTTTTTTTTTTCTGTGTGCCAGATTTATGAAAACCTGACATTCTTAGTTTTTAGCTAAACAAACTTTCAACGTTGCAGCCCGCCGTTGTCCTGGTCACACCATTTTATGTTGGGGTGGGGGCAGCTCTAATAGCCCCCTTATTTAAAGAAAACATATTACATCTGCCTAGTGCATATATATGGTTACTCTAATATTAAATATTTTTATATCAAATATTTTCTGAAAATTTCCCTCTGCCTGTATTTTTATTGGTCAGAGTGTCAATTTTGGGTCCCCCTGTGGCCTGGGACAACTGACCCCTTTGTCCCCCCCGTCGGCTGGCCTGCATGTTCAGGACATGTAGACTTCCATGTAGGGAGTGGCGGTGGTGCAGGGGTTAAGAGCGTGACCCATGTATGGAGGCCTCAGTCCTTCATGCAGCTGTCTCAGGTTTGAGTCCTGACCTGTTGACCTTAGCTGTATGCAGAACCCCAACTCCATTTCCTGTTCAATCATTTTCAAAATAGATGTGGAGAAAAATAGTTTGATTTGATCCATGATAAACAAAATTTAAATATTTGATTTTTTATATCCAGATATAAATTACTGCCATGCTTATCTGTATGGCCCGTATTTTTTATTTAAATCTATTTCTACTCTATTGATGCTTCTTCCACTATTAACCTATTCAGATTTAAAAACCTTCATCCTGAATTTGTTTTCTTTCTTTTTTGGTAAAATGATCAAAGAGTTTTGAGGCCTCCTGGTTGGAAATATTTCTCCATGTTGCTTCGGTCGCTTCTGGATCTGATTGAACACAAAGTTTCAAAAGATAAAATCTCCTGAGCTGAATGACTGTGTTTTTCTCTGCATGTATCAATGCGGTTTGCATCATTAGTGGTAAATCAGTAGTTTCCTGAACTCCTGTGCATATGAATCCAGAGAAGCAGCGTATCGCTTGTACAGCCATTCAAAATATCCCCACTTTCCTTGATGGGTCCTTGGCTGTTCCCCCTTCAATTCCTATTTAAACATCAATCTTTGTACTAATGAATCCTTTCTGTCATGATTTGTGGATCTAAAAAGAAGCATCAACTCCCGGTCAGACCCTGTAATTCAGTGAAAAGGTGGAGTAAGAGTAAAGAAATAGGCAAGAGGGGGTCACTCCAGTGGCAGGAAGTTGGAGAGAATTTCGCTGGTAGTTGGAGGGAAGTTGTCTGCTATTCGGCTGGTGTTTGACTGGGAAAGGCCATTTTGAATGGCTGCTACTGTAACCTGCTCCAGCTCAGGGATTCGGTTGCCTGCAGCTGAAACTGGGTGGAAGCACCTGTCACCTGTCAGGGCGCCTTCCTGCCCTTTCAAACCATACTGGAGTGTTTGGGAAACTAGCAGGATGTTGTGTTGCTTCACAGCATAAGTGAGAGTGGAAAAGTACAGCAAACATTCATTAAGTTCTAGAAAAAAGGGTCGAAC